GGGACCCCCAGCCCGAAGAGAGGCAGGCGAGTGTTGAGGAGGAGGAGGAGGAGGAGGAGGAGGAGGAGGAGGAGGAGGAGGAGGAGGACCTTTTGACCTTGCAATGCTGGGCCCTCTCCGATAGACGGAGACCCACATCCTTCAATCAGTGCCCAGGCGGGAACCTCACTCCACTCTTTGGAGGAGGCCTCGCCCCAAACGGGACAATACCTTACGGCCCGCCTTGGTGGGGCCCTCAGGTGGGCACTGCTCGGCCAGCGCTTGAACCTTGTCAACGCAATGCCGACTGCACACTCTGCAAAACAGCACGCCTCGCAAGCAGTGCAACTGATGGCTGCTGTGCACCCGAGACCAGCACGGATGAGCCACGACCGCATCGGGGCCATCGCGCAGCGCAGGAGGGCCCGTACAGCGCCCAGGGACAAAATCGGCGAGGCGGCCCACAAAGGCCTTAAACTTACGTTTACACACCTGGCATCGCAACAAGCCTTTCTTAGCACTCGACCGAATGGCCAGCCCCAGGCAGCCGCCGCCGACGGACCACATCGGTGGGCAACGACCTCGGACAAAGGTGGCGGCCTACCAACGCGCTCGGCCTTGTTGCGGTGGCAAGCGAGGCTAACCTCCCGATTGTCGTCAAGCAGTCGGCACAACACCTGGGAAGTTCGCAAATCTACATCTTGAATCACTTCGACATAGTCAGGGTCTACCTCTCCTTTAGCAGCGGCCACCCCAGCGAAATAATCAGCACAAACATTCAAAAAGCACTCGGCCCCTCTGAGGCCCCAGGCATCACGCAACGAAGCCGTAGAATGTGCTTTCGTCCACAACAATTCCACACCCCCAGACCGAGAGTCCATCGCCTCCCAGACCGTGACCCACAAGTCCATCATAGGAGACGTCTGGGATATCAGCTCACGAGGCCTGTGGAGGGCCCTGACCAAAGGGAGGTAGTCCGAGTACGCCACGACGTTGACCGTGGTCATGAGCAGCAGCTGGAGCAAGGCAAACAATTCAGCCCTAGGACTGGACTGTTCACGGGTCGGTAACGTCCCACAAAGGACTCCATCAAATGTGAAACCGCCAGGACCCGAGGTATCATCCATACGTACCATGGCCCAACCGCACCTCCGAAGTCTCCAGTCATCCGCGTGTTTTCCCCCAGAGCCATCAAGGCCCCATACGCCCCCAGACGCAGGTTGTCCAGCAGATAAGACACCCCATTCGAAACCCAAGGATACTGGCGGCGGAACACGATTGACGGCGGCAGCCAACGTAGGGCGCCCTCGATTCCAGAAGGCGCTCCCAGGGCACGTGCGCGCGGCATCTTGAGCATCAGGAGCCAAAGGTGCAGACTGACTCATACCACTGGACTCAATCATATCATTGCAACTACAGAACCAGACACGATGCATCATTGTTTCCTGACCAGCGCCGCATCGAGGACAGACTCCGTCAGAAAGGCAGCCAGCCTGTCGAAGCCGTGCCCCGGGCCAACATCCACTACACACAATGCTAGCCAGCAGCGCCGCATCCTGATGGAAGCCGTCGGACACAAGCTTCCGATACATGCGCCTGAACACTGTAAAATCGATACCTTCATCAGCACCGACCCCACAATAGTGCTGCGTGCACCCGTCCAGCTCTTCAAAGAAACCGCGTGCTTCACGCGCGAGCCCAGGAAATACAGGAAATCAGACCTCTCAGCATCAAGCACCATCATGGGGGTTCTCCATCTGGTCGGGGACAGGGGCTCCCAGCCTAGATCCAAAAGAGTAGCCACCACTGCAGCAATAGGGCCCTCTATCGTCGCCCAGCGACGGTTGGGTGCCAGAGAGAGCAGCCTAACCCGCACAGAGGTCCACGTCCGAGTCACACCATTCCGAAGGCCCAGGGACACAGACTTCCAAATGCTAGCCAGGGCCCCAAGCTGCTCTCTTCGGAGTCTATACGAGGGGTCGTCGGCATACTGATGGCGAATAGCCAACACGGTCGAGGTACACATCCCAGGAGACCAGAAGCCCGAACACTCAGCAGCAGAAGCACGGAAGGACTGGACCTCTGAGACAGGCAATCCCAGGACACTGTGACTCCAAGCACCAACACTCAACACGCCAGGTTTGAACAGCTTCCGGGACCTCCCGCACAATTTAGCCAGATACTCCAATTTCCTAGCTCTCCTGAGAGCCGTCCTCCTCCTCAATCTAACCTTCCACGCGCGCCTTCTCCTCCCGGCCGTAGACATCACTCCAAGGCCCTTCATAGCGTCGGACGCATGAACAGGGATGTCCATCCGCTTGAACTCATCAACTACAGCACGCTGCAGGGGCGCAGAGGATGCCAAGACTCCACTCTTCGTGGAGACCTTGCACCCACATGCAGTAACGTCACGAAAGAACTGGAGCACAGCAGACGGTACCACACTCATGATATACTTACTCGTGCCAAGCGCAAACTGCGCGATGTCATCCACATACGTCTGCAGAGGAACATGCGGAAGGCGGTGGCGCGCACGGTGCAACACATCATGCAGCAAGGCCTTCACCCATGGCAAATAGCGCGTACAACCAGCAATGATAGAATTACCTGTGGGAATGACCTTGGACAACATACCTTCAACTTCCAACGCGCGAGGAGAGGAATGCACAAGGATCCCCAGGTACAACAACATCGGAGGATATTGTAGCTGCAAAGCCAGTTGCGCGAGCATGGAGACAACCACGCTGTCAAAAAAAAAAAAAAAAAAAAACATGTCCCAGTGGGCGGCCAACGATTCAAAATACTGATTGCTAGCCACCTCGAAGCACGGGGCGCGCAACAGGGCACTCTGAAGTGCCGACGAGCCTCGGACTGCACAGTCCCAAAAATCCAATTGCTGACGATTCCAATCATCAATCATGCCGCCACGCATCCGAGCATGCATTCTGTAACATGTAGAACACTTAGACACTGCGCGTTCATCGCACTCACTCTTAGGCAACATGACCATGCTATTCAACAAGCATTGCGATGGGAACGTCAGCTCCTGCTCAACACGTTGGAAGATCTGGAGGGGCCCATCCAGCGCATGCCGAGGCAAAGACAGCGAAACGCGAGGAGACCATTGATCAACTCCAAGTGCCGTCGTAGCAGAAAAACAATGGCAGGCTTGCACTAGATCCCCCACCTCAAGGTCAGCGGCCTCCACGGCAGCAAGTTGCGCAGAAGCCCGCAACTCTCCGAGAGACTCTTCCAGCAAAACGGCGCCGCGCACTACCAGGGGTCCACCAACCTCCCCAAAAGTGCTCACGGTGCTCCATCAAATCTTTGGGATTCTGCACAACGCCTTTAAACCCTTTGAAGAACTGGACTGTGGCCCGATCATTGGCCTTCAGCCACCGGTGCAACTTGGGAGCGCCACCAGGGAGACAAGCGCGGAGCCACTCGCGAATGCCAGCTTCAGTGCCAGAACGAGCTTTAGCCCAAGCCTTACTACAAATATGCGTTGCCTTATTCACCATGTCCTGAACGATATCAAGGACACTCAAGTCACCAGCCAGAGCCCCAGACCACCAGGTAGCATCTTCAGGCTCATCCAAAGGTTCAATAAATACGCCAATATCATTAGACAAACGATTGCGCAGACTCTTCAACTCCTAGGTACGCTTACTCCCAGGGGCCTTGCGGAGGCACTTCAAGTACCCATAAAGCAGCGAATGCACCAGGGACCAGAAGCAAAGATACCCACAAGAGACACTTTGTTGCCTAGCCCCACGCCGCCTCAGAGACCCCGAGATAGTAACCGGCCCCAAGCCCCTCCCAAGAGCTCTCTGGAGATCCACGATAGCACAGGCCCTGGAAGCGAACACGTACTCCGCGGACCGGGACCACAACGCATAAACCCGAGAGAGCTCAGGAGAAAGGACTTCCGAGGTATGCCTGAGAAACGCGCCAGACACATCACCAGGAATCAGAACCTGAGGGTCATCCTTAAGCGCCATGTTACAATAGTACAGCCAGACATGATCAGGGCCAAAAGCAAGAGGAATATCACGACACTTCACGCGGCTGGTGACCTCCATGCTAAGGGCATCGGCGTCGATCTCAGCCAGCAGGCATGCATGCGTCTTAAATGGAGCCGTCAATACCGCCTTCAAATCAAGGGCGCGATACCCATCTCTGGAACATACCAGGAAATCGATCATCGTCTCACCCGCGTCACAAGTGAACTCCATGTTTTGTGGAACCAAGGGACAGGATCGAGTCAACTCAAACCACCCAGAATCAGCCAACACCTGAGGATCATTATTGAAATCGCCCAGGAGGATCCAGGGGACCGCCAGGGTCCGAACAAAATGACATATATCGCGCATACGATTCAGATTCTCACCAGCCATGCCGATGGAAGCCACCAAATAGCAAACACCTATCGCGATAGAGTGCCCGTCTAACTTCAGCTCCAGGAAAAGCCAGCAGGCCCCACAGCCAACCTGAATGATCCCAGAACACTGAGCCAGGAACTTCTGAAACGCTAAACCTTTCTGCGCCAGGAAAGGCACCCCACCATGAGTACCTCCCCCAGGAGAATCGAGAGCAGCCTGAAAATGTGGGGCCCACCCCATTGCACGCGCATTCGCATTGCCCAGGGCTGAAGCCCGCACATGGTGCTCAGCGAGAAGGAAGGCATCAACCTCGGACACAGACTGCGACACGTAGGACTTCGTGAGAACAGACCAGGAGGTAACATACGCAAAGCACACCTTGATCTGCTCACGCTTCTTCCTGGCCCGCCGCCACTCGGCGGGCACACGCTGGCTAAAGCTGCGATGCACTCCCCGATGCGCCTCCAGCGCTCGGGGGAATGGACTGGAGCTGGGAGGCCGCTGCATCACAAAAGGTGCCAAACAAGATCGCAGAGGCCATCCGCTGCCGGACGGCCTTGCGAGCACGCTTGCCCGCGCGGGCAGTGGCGGCGGCCTGGAGCAACTCACCATACTTCCTGGAGTCTTCAGGCCCCAGTCCTTGCTCTGCAGCACGTTTGCGTAGATCACGCAGTTCACCCACATCAGAAACTTCAGTGCCAGCATCACTGATCTCATCATCGAACTCCATGGGGATATCCGCCTTCTGGGACCTGGCCCACAGGAGCATGTTGCGCCGCTGCTCCATGTTGACCGCGGACCGCCCTTCGAAGCGGGCGAGGTCCTGCTCCTCGAGGGTGTGCAGGCGCTGCTCGACCCAGCCGAAGTCGACCAGCCCCATGGGAGTAAGACCAGGTACTTGAAGACCAGCAGGAGCCGCACCTTGCACGCCAGCACCTTCAGGTCGCGCAGGAGCACCTTCAGCGCCAGCCGCGACTGGTGGGGCTCCGCGAGCAGCCCCAGGTGCCTGGTCACGCTGAGCATCTTGAGCAGCGCGAGCGTCCACCTCCGCCTGCCTCTGCTCAATCTTCTTCTTCTCCGCCCACGCGTCTTCATTGAACTGGCCAGCTTCCTCATCAGCCGCCTGTTTGCGCATTTCAGCCAATCGAACAGCTTCACGACACTGCTCGAGACCAGCACGGACCTCACCCAACTGCTCCTCGAGCTTGGTGTACTTCGACTTCTTCTGTTGTAAAACTTGATTGGCAAGCCTGACGGCCTTGGCAGCGTCCTCCGCCACCCGAGCCAACCGAGTACGCTCCGCGGAAGCCGCACTCGCCAGCTGTGAGGCCGTCCAGAGGAGGAAGAGGAAAAAACAGAAACAAAAACAAGTGGGGGGGAAGCAGGCGGGAGTGAAGAAACGAGCGCCCCTCCAGCACCTCCCGGGCCCTCGGTCGCAGCTCCTGGGGCGCCCGGGGCCACGTTCCGGGCCGCTCCCCTGCCAATCCTCGATCCCCCCTCGTCAGCTGCCCCGCTGCTGCCCCACGGGACCTTCGACCTCGGTGGCGTCGATCTCCAGGACACCCAGGCTCTCGAGCCTCTGTCATCGACCCTCGTCGTCGTCGTCTCGACCCTCGTCTTCGTTGTCTCGACCCTCGCCCCTCTAACCTCGACCATCGTCGTCGACTGTGGACTTGACAACAAAAGGGGGTGGTCTGATTTGGGAGGGGGTCTGGGTTGAGCTGTCTTGAAGGATTCCAGGAAGTGTGGGCACAAGGCCTCCCTCTCACGGCTGGTTTGGGGGGGTCTGTCTGGGAGGGTTGTGGGAACCCATCCCTTGTCTTACGAAATGTGGAATCTCCTCGGACCCCGACCTCCCAGGGGCGCCTCGTGGTATAGGTCGCCGCGGTGCAGCACCTCCAGCCCGCAACTGCCCACCGCCACCTGGGGTACGCGGCATTGCCCCCCGCCGCCAATGGGGGGGGCAGCAGCCGCGCTCGGACGCAGCACCGAACTGCCTCTGCAGCCGTCGCCGACACCGCCGTCGTTCTATTGTCACCGCCGTCGTGGTCGCCGCCGTCGTCGTCGACGCCGTCGTCACCGCCGCCGTGGTCGCCACACCGTCGTCGCCACCGCCGTCGTCCTCGTCGTCACCGCCGTCGTGGTCGCCGCCGTCGTGGTCGTCGCCGTCGTCCTCGTCGTCGCCCTCTTGGAGCACGTGCGCTTGGGGACGGGGCCGCTGCGGAGGACGGCCGACGCTTTCCGGGCCTCCAGAGACCCCCCACAGAACAGCAGCCAGGGCCGCCATACTTCAGCTGAAGGAGGGCGGTGCCATAGAAACTTTCCCGCAGTCGGGGACGCCTGTCCCACGGCGGCTGGAGGACTTGGACCCCTACGGCGGCACGTCGGGGTAAGAACTTCCCAGTCGCCCTGGGACAGGCGTCCGCGAGGGCACGAAGGCTCATTTTACGCATACCGTTCTTCATCAGCTAAGGCTTGGCCTCTCTGGAGGCCCCTATGGCTCGTTCGTGGAGGCTGCCCAGATGGGGCCAGAGGGAGAATGCGCCGAATCGCCGAAGCAGTTGCAAAGCCGGGGCTCTGGACTCCTTCGGGCGGCCTGGACCTCCGCGTTGCCATTCGATCATGGTCTGGAAGCAGGAAGGTTCGCGTCGGACTTCGGGCCCTCCGAAGGCCACTTCGGGCGGGAGCCCCGCACATTGCCACACTACGCCGCGGATAACCTGGAATCGGCACGTGAGTCCCAAGCACCGAGACGTAAAACCTAAACCGATCTTGGCCTATCCGCTAATCCCATCCAACTTGCACAGAGCAGAGATCTTGCGGGCCAAACTTGATAGAGACATTCCGTCGGAGCAATCTTTGGCGCGGGCCTCGTGCCCTCCGATCGCCCAATGCGATGCGATTTTCTTCCCCTCGCGCCTCCCTGAAGCAGCGCACCAAAACTCACCCTAGCCTGCGGTCGCTCATGGGTGTGCTGTTATTTGGCTACCATGCAGGCGGGGCTGATTGCAAAGGACGCGCGACAGGACACATGACTCTTCCGACGGTAACATGGCCTCCGAAAGCCACAGGAGACAAGGGCACCCTGGCCACGCGAACGCAGAGGACACAATGCGCGATGCACAGGACACAAGAGTAC